CTAGACTATAGACTAGACTATAGACTAGACTATAGACTAGACTATAGACTAGACTATAGACTATAGACTAGAATATACTAGACTAGACAGACTATAGACTAGACTATAGACTAGACTATAGACTAGACTATAGACTAGACTATAGACTAGACTATAGACTAGACTATAGACTAGACTATAGACTAGACTATAGACTAGACTATAGGACTAGACTATAGACTAGACTATAGACTAGACTATAGACTAGACTAAGACTAGACTAGACTAGACTATAGACTAGACTATAGACCTAGACTATAGACTAGACTATAGACCTAGACTATAGACTAGACTATAGACTAGACTATAGGACTAGACTATAGACTAGACTATAGACTAGACTATAGACTACTATAGACTAGACTATAGACTAGACTATAGACTAGACTATAGACTAGACTATAGACTAGACTATAGATAGCTAGACTATAGACTAGACTATAGACTAGACTATAGACTAGACTATAGACTAGACTATAGACTAGACTATAGACTAGACTATAGACTAGACTATAGACTAGACTATAGACTAGACTATAGACTAGACTATAGACTAGACTATAGACTAGACTATAGACTAGACTATAGACTAGACTATAGACTAGACTATAGACTAGACTATAGACTAGACTATAGACTAGACTATAGACTAGACTATAGACTAGACTATAGACTAGACTATAGACTAGACTATAGACTAGACTATAGACTAGAGTATAGACTAGACTATAGACTAGACTATAGACTAGACTATAGACTAGACTATAGACTAGACTATAGACTAGACTATAGACTAGACTATAGACTAGACTATAGACTAGACTATAGACTAGACTATAGACTAGACTATAGACTAGACTATAGACTAGACTATAGACTAGACTATAGACTAGACTATAGAATAGACTATAGACTAGACTATAGACTAGACTATAGACTAGACTACAGAATAGACTATAGACTAGACTATAGACTAGACTATAGACTAGACTAGACTAGTTGATGGTGGGGGGTGGTACGATTCGATAACATGTTACTAAATTAGACAGGTTGTTGTTTCGCTATCAGTTCCACTGGTTCTACTCTAAATTCTATAGATTTTGCTTTTGTGATGTAATATTACTTTACATCGTGTTTTTATAAGTTTGATATACAAAAATTTTGTTTTCTGTTGTTGGTATTATTTGTTGTTTTCCTACAGATTTTATAATAAATAACTCCAATGATTTGGAAGAATTAAAAAGTGAATCAAGTGTGACTTGATATTTAGAGATTTGTGTTGCCGTAAAAAACATATTAAAGTTTTTAAGTTTATATATCCTGGGACTGGGAATAATAAGAATAGACTAAAGACTAGACTTTAGACTAGACTACAGACTGGACTATAGACTAGGCTATAGACTAGACTGCAGACCAGGAGATAGACTAAACTATAGCCTGGACCGTAGAATAGATAGCTTGTTAGACTCTAGACTAGACTATAGACTAGACTATAGACTAGACTATAGACTAGACTATAGACTAGACCATAGACTTGACTATAGACTAGACTATAGACTAGACTATAGACTAGACTATAGACTAGACTATAGACTAGACTATAGACTAGACTATAGACTAGACTATAGACTAGACTATAGACTATAGACTAGACTATAGACTAGACTATAGACTAGACTATAGACTAGACTATAGACTAGACTATAGACTAGACTATAGACTAGACTATAGACTAGACTATAGACTAGACTATAGACTAGACTATAGACTAGACTATAGACTAGACTATAGACTAGACTATAGACTAGACTATAGACTAGACTATAGACTAGACTATAGACTAGACTATAGACTAGACTATAGACTAGACTATAGACTAGACTATAGACTAGACTATAGACTAGACTATAGACTAGACTATAGACTAGACTATAGACTAGACTATAGACTAGACTATAGACTAGACTATAGACTAGACTATAGACTAGACTATAGACTAGACTATAGACTAGACTATAGACTAGACTATAGACTAGACTATAGACTAGACTATAGACTAGACTATAGACTAGACTATAGACTAGACTATAGACTAGACTATAGACTAGACTATAGACTAGACTATAGACTAGACTATAGACTAGACTATAGACTAGACTATAGACTAGACTATAGACTAGACTATAGACTAGACTATACTGACTATAGACTAGACTAGACTAGACTATAGACTAGACTATAGACTAACTATAGACTAGATATAGACTAGACTATAGACTAGACTATAGACTAGACTATAGACTAGACTATAGATTAGACTATAGACTAGACTATAGACTAGACTATAGACTAGACTATAGACTAGACTATAGACTAGACTATAGATAGACTATAGACTAGACTATAGACTAGACTATAGACTAGACTATAGACTAGACTATAGACTAGACTATAGACTAGACTATAGACTAGACTATAGACTAGACTATAGACTAGACTATAGACTAGACTATAGACTAGACTATAGACTAGACTATAGACTAGACTATAGACTAGACTATAGACTAGACTATAGACTAGACTATAGACTAGACTATAGACTAGACTATAGACTAGACTATAGACTAGACTATAGACTAGACTATAGACTAGACTATAGACTAGACTATAGACTAGACTATAGACTAGACTATAGACTAGACTATAGACTAGACTATAGACTAGACTATAGACTAGACTATAGACTAGACTATAGACTAGACTATAGACTAGACTATAGACTAGACTATAGACTAGACTATAGACTAGACTATAGACTAGAGTATAGACTAGACTATAGACTAGACTATAGACTAGACTATAGACTAGACTATAGACTAGATATAGACTAGACTATAGACTAGACTATAGACTAGACTATAGACTAGACTATAGACTAGACTATAGACTAGACTATAGACTAGACTATAGACTAGACTATCAGACTAGACTATAGACTAGACTATAGACTAGACTATAGACTAGACTATAGACTAGACTATAGACTAGACTATAGACTAGACTATAGACTAGACTATAGACTAGACTATAGACTAGACTATAGATAGACTATAGAACCTAGACTATAGACTAGACTATAGCTAGACTATAGACTAGACTATAGACTAGACTATAGACTAGACTAATAGACTAGACTATAGACTAGACTATAGACTAGACTATAGACTAGACTATAGACTAGACTATAGACTAGACTATGACGAGACTATTAGACTAGACTTACTAGACTAGACTACTATAATAGACTATAGACTAGACTAGGACTAGACTATAGACTAACTAGAGACAGACTATAGACTAGACTATAGACTAGACTATAGACTAGACTATAGACTAGACTATAGACTAGACTATAGACTAGACTATAGACTAGACTATAGACTGACTATAGACTAGACTATAGACTAGACTATAGACTAGACTATAGACTAGACTATAGACTAGACTATAGACTAGACTATAGACTAGACTATAGACTAGACTATAGACTAGACTATAGACTAGACTATAGACTAGACTATAGACTAGACTATAGACTAGACTATAGACTAGACTATAGACTAGACTATAGACTAGACTATAGACTAGACTATAGACTAGACTATAGACTAGACTATATAATAGACTATAGACTAGACTTTAGACTAGACTATAGACTAGACTATAGAATAGACTATAGACTAGACTATAGACTAGACTATAGACTAGACTATAGACTAGACTATAGACTAGACTATAGACTAGACTATAGACTAGACTATAGACTAGACTATAGACTAGAATAGACTAGAATATAGACTAGACTATTTATTAGAATAGACTAGACTATAGACTAGACTATAGACTAGACTATAGACTAGACTATAGACTAGACTATAGACTAGACTATAGACTAGACTATAGACTAGACTATAGACTAGACTATAGACTAGACTATAGACTAGACTATAGACTAGACTATAGACTAGACTATAGACTAGACTATAGACTAGACTATAGACTAGACTATAGACTAGACTATAGACTAGACTATAGACTAGACTATAGACTAGACTATAGACTAGACTATAGACTAGACTATAGACTAGACTATAGACTATAGACTAGACTATAGACTAGACTATAGACTAGACTATAGACTAGACTATAGACTAGACTAGACTAGACTAGACTATAGACTAGACTAGACTATTTATCCTGTTTTATCTCTTTTAAATTATTCCACAAAAATTATTTAAAATTTTAAATAAATAGAAGGAAATTTATTGGATTAATATGTTTATTAAACATTGCTCCCATATCTTATGTTCATTCATTATTTAAAATGTTACACTCTTTAATCAAGAAATTAACCCAAATTAATTAAGTTTATTAATAAAATCATCAAAAAGAATTTTTTAGATTTTAATCTTGTTATGCTATTTATATAACCCCTATTTAATCTGTGATATTGATTATTTATTTAAATAATATTCGATGGTAATTAAGTTAATTTATTTATTAACTCTGGGATATTTTTTTTTGCATTCGTTAACATTTTAACATCACAACCTCAATTCTTGAGTTAATCCTTTGATAGCTGTTTTTTGCTAACATTTACTGCTCTTTACTTTTTTTCTTGTGAATATAACCACTTGAATATACAAATGTTTTTTGGATGGATAAATATACAATATACGACTCTTATTACTCCATCTGTTCTTTGTACCAGACTTAATGTTGTAAAACACCCTAATTAACCTCTAATTAATTTTTAATTCAGTAATGCTTTTACAACTAAAACAACAACAAAACTGGAAAAAAACAAAAGAATTTCTTTATTTTTTTTTTTTGCTGCTTTATGATTTATTCATATTTATTTGGTCCTTTTTTCTTTTTTTTCTTTCTTTTTTTCGTTTTAGGTCCTGAACCTGCAAAAAATGAAAAATCAAAAGGTATTTTTCACTTTGTGTTTTTTTGTTTGTTTTTTAGTTGTGTAGTCTTGTAGTAGTGGTAGTATTTGATATTTGTTAGCATGTAGTTGTATTTTGTATTTGTTTTTATAAGGATATAAATTATTTTTATTATTATTACAAATATTGTTGCTGCTGTAAATGCGTAAACATTTTAATGGTGTTTAGGGATCGAGCAAAAATGTTGAATATATAACTTAATGAGGGTTACAACAGCAGAGCTTTTAAAGAAAAGTTTCGTTCAAGCAGTAAAGGGTTTATTTTATGGATTTTGTTTTGAAAATAATTGGATTTTTAAAAAATACGAAAAAAAAGGTTGAAATCAATTATCCGTAACATTTTATTAAAATTACCTAAATATAAGTTTATTTGTGTTTTAAGTTTATATTGAGTAAGAAAGGACATGAATTGTCAAAATTAGAAAGTTTATCGAAATTTTTCTTTATATAGAAAGTTAATCAAGAATTGTCTTTTAGTTGAAAATTGTTCAAGAATTTTCTTTAATTAGATAATCGATCGGGAATATTCTCTAAGTATAAATTTTATCGAAATTTTTATCTAAATAGAAAATTTATCAAAAATTAAGATTGATCTATGATTTTTCCTAAATAGAAAATTGATCGAGAATTCTCTTTAAAATGAAAATTGACCAAAATATTCTTTATGTAAAGATTGATCGTAAGATTTTTCTAAATAAAAATTTGATTTAAAAATTTGGTCGGAATTTGATCAAATATTAATTCTAACTAGATAATTAACTTTTCTCAAAATAGAATTTTGATCGAAGATCTCCTTAAATGAAAATTTGATCGATAATTTTGTCTAAATATAAAATTGATCGTGTTATTTCTGTAAAGAGAAAATTTATCATGAATTGGTTCCAAATAAATTATTAATCGATGCTTTTTCCTTATTAGAATTTTGTACGATAATTTTGTTTAGATAAAAAATTAATCGGAAATACTCATTTAACGGAACGCTGATCGTAAAATTTCGATAAATTAAAATTGAATCAAACATTTTCCTAAATCGAAATGTGATCAAGATTTTTTTTTTTTGGAATTTTCTATTCGTGAGATTTGTTTAATAAGAAATTGCTCGTGAATTTTCTCTAAATTAAAACTGATCGAGTATTTGCTCTAAATAGAAAATTGATTTAAAAGAAAAATTTACCGATAATATTCTTTAAATGGAAAACTGAAAGTGAAATTTTCGAGAATTTCCTCTAAATTGAAAATTGATCGTGAAATTTTTCTAAATAGAAAATTGATCGAGGATTTTCTCTAAATATAAAATTGATCGTGTAATTTCTCGAAAGAGAAAATTTATTCTGATTTTTTCATAAATACACATTTGATCGAGAATTTCCTCTAAATTGAAAATTGTTCTTGAAATTTTTCTAAATAGAAAATTGATCGAGATTTTCTCTAAATAGAATATTTGTTGGGTAATTTCTCGAAAGAAAATTTATCATGAATTGGTTCTAAATAAAAAACTTATCGAGGCTTTTTCCTAAATAGAATTTTGATCGATAATGTTCTCTAAATAGAAAATTGTTCAAAAATATTCATTTAATAGAAAGTTAGTCGCAAAATGTCTCTAATAAAAATTTAATTAAGAATTCTTTCTAAATTGAAAATTCGCGAGCAATTAAGAATTATCTCTAAATAGAAAATTGCTCGATACATTTTGCTAAATAAGAAATTAATGAAGAATATTCTCTCAATAAAAAACTGATCATAAAATATCTCTAAATTAAAGATTTATTAAAAATTTTCTTTAAAATGAAAATTGATCAAAAATATTCTTAAAATAGAAAATTGATCGTGAAATTTTCCTAAATTGAAACTGATCGAGTATTTTCTCTGAATAGACAATTAATTGATTGTGAAATTTCTCTAAATCGAAAAATTTATTCGAAACTGAAAAATGATCGTAAAATTTCTTGAAATTAAAAATTTATTAAAAATTATATGAAAGAGATTGATTGAAAATTTATCGTGAGTAGATCAATATTCTATAGAGATTTTTCTTTGGAACGAAAATTGATCGTAAAATTTCTCTTAAACATAAAAAATTGATGAAGACATTTTTTCTAAATAGAAAATTGATCGTGAATTTTCTTTAATTAGAAAGTTGATCGAGGATTATCTCTAAATAGAAAATTAAACAAGAATTTTCTCTAAAGAGAGAATTGATCGTGAAATTTCTCTTAAACATAAAAAATTTGTTAAGAAATTTTTCTAAATAGAAAATTGATCGTGAATTTCCTTTAATTAGAAAATTGATCGAGGATTATCTCTAAATAGAAAATTAAACAAGAATTTTCTCTAACAAGAGAATTGATCGTGAAATTTCTGTAAATAAAAATTTGATTTTTTACTAAATTGAAGATTAATCGAGGATTTTTTTAAAGAAAATTTATCGTGAAAAAGAAAAATTAGATCGGGAATTTTCTTTTAATAACAAACTGATCGTAAATTGTCTCTTAATAAAAATTTTATGGAGATTTTTCACTGAAAAGATCAAGGATTTTCTTTAAAAAGGAAATTGAAAGACAATATTCTTTAAATAGAGGATTGATCGTGAAATTTCTCTAAATAATAATTTGATCGAATTTTTTACTAAATTGAAAATTGATCGAGAATTTTTTTTAAAGAAAATTGATCGTGAAATTTCACGAAACAAAAATTAGATCGAGAAATTTCTTTTTATAACAAACTGATCGTAAATTTTCTCTTAATAAACATTTTATGGAGACTTTACTGAAAAAAAATTGTGATCAAGGATTTTCTTTAAAAAGTAAATTGAACGAGAATATTCTTTAAATAGAAAAATTATCATCAAATTTCTTCAAATAAGAAATTGATCAAGAATTTTCTCTAAATAGGAATTTGTTTCGAAATTTTCTCTAAATAAAAAAATTTATCGAGAATATTCTTTAAATAGAAAAATTATCATCCAAATAGGAAATTGATCAAGAATTTTCCCTAAATAGGAATTTTATCCAATATTTTCTCTAAATAAACAAATTAATCATGAATAATCTTTAAATAGAAAATTGATAGTAAAATTTCTCTAAATTTAAATTTGACCGACAATTTTATTTAAATCGAAAATTTATCGTGAAATTTCTCTAAATAAAAATTTGAACTCAAATTTTATTTTAAAATAATATTGATCGTAAAATTTTTAAAAATATAATTTTAATCAAAAATTGTCTCGAAATTGGTCTTAAATGTTCTTAAACTTAAACAAGAATTTTCTATAATTAAATAAATTAATCAAGAATAATCTTTAAATAGAAAATTGATAGTAAAATTTCTCTAAATTTAAATTTGACCTACAATTTTATTTAAATCGAAAATTGATCGTGAAATTTCTTTAAATAAAAATTTGAACTCAAATTTTCCTTTAAAATAATATTGATCGTAAAATTTTTAAAAATATAATTTTAATCAAAAATTGTCTCGAAATTGATCTTAAATGTTCTTAAACTTGAACAAGAATTTTCTATAATTAAATAAATTCTCTAATTAAATCGATAATAGTCTCTAAACTGAAAATATCCCAGCAAAATCTTTACTTACCCGGTAAGTAGGCAAGTAATATTGAAGCAAAGTGTAAGTACTTTCTTTTTGGGTGAATAACTACTTATTTTTGTTTGACGATGACCAAAAAATAACTGGTTACAAATGTACTTACCCGACTATTACGGACTTAAAACCGCCTTTACAGTTATTTTCTGTGTTTATTAGTCTATTCTATTACCCAATGCTCCATTAACAAATTGTTTTATCGTGCTATTTGGAATAGTTTTTACACAAAGGTACAAATCAATATTTCTTAAAAAATCTTCTAATATCGACTAGGTTTAAAACCATTAACTAATTCCTTATACGCTCTATCCATCTGGCTACAAATCCTATCAAAAAAAAAAAAATAATAATTTTATTAATAAAAACCACTCATTACCAAGTAATGTGTGAAATAACTACATTATCTACAATACTGAATACCAAAATTTGAAAATATTTTACTGGGTAGTTTAAGAGTTTTCTCTAAATAAGAATTTTCATCCTGAATTTTCTAACGAATCCAAGATCTTCCATTTAAATTAAATTCCTCAGTTTAAAATAAAATAAAAAGTACAAAAAACCTTTGACTTTGCTTAATCTTATCTTCCAATACACAGTGGGGCAGAATGGAAATTTTTTGGAAATAAATCTGGCATTTCTAAACGGCTGATCCGATCGGGATAAAATTTGGTGTGAGCGTAGCCAAGGAGTATTCGAGTTTAAGTTTTGAAGATGAACCCTGCAGATGCCCCAGGGACGGCGCTGTGGCGGCTCAAAGTAGGGTACCTACGACATGTAAAATTTTTAAACTCGTGCCATTTTTTTGTTTTTCACCCAAATACAAAGATTTTTATATTTTGTGAAAGCGCTCGACGAGATCTTGAAAAAACATGCTTGGACATACTACTTATCTCTTATAATATCCGAGTTATAGGCATATAAAAATTTAGTGATACAAAATTTACCATACCTTGATCCGCCTTTTTTTGAATACCGGGCGTAATTTTGGACCAAATGGATTCAATTTTTTCTTGTTAGTTAGACAACAAAATTTCCAATAATATACAAAAAATTTCAGATCAATATCGTTTACAGATCCAAAAATATACGTTTTTTAATTTAAAAATTCAAAAAATTTTAGATTTTTGGCGTTTTTTTTGCCAAAAATGTGTCTTAACTCTTTTATTAATAAAATAAAATTTTTATTAAGAACATATAACAATTTTATAGTTTTCTAAAAGGTATCTTTACGCAGAACGCTTTGGCGTAAAAAACTTGTCCTATTTTTTGAAAATGTTGCCACTGCGTCCTTCCGAATATGACCTATTTTTTATCAAAACTTCAACTTTGGGCGACATGTTCTAAAATCCCAAAGCTGGGATCAGAAAACTGAAAGCAGTTTTG